GCAGCCACTTTGGAGAATAGTGTGGAAATTCCTCAAGAAATTAAAAATAGAGCTTCCCTATGACCCTGCCATTGCACTACTGGGTATTTACCCCAAAGATACAGATGGAGTGAAAAGAAGGGCCATCTGTACCCCAATGTTTATAGCAGCAATGGCCGTGGTCGCCAAACTGTGGAAAGAACCAAGATGCCCTTCAACGGATGAATGGATAAGGAAGATGTGGTCCATATACACTATGGAGTATTATGCCTCCATCAGAAAGGATGAATACCCAACTTTTGTATCAAGATGGATGGGACTGGAAGAGATTATTCTGAGTGAAATAAGTCAAGCAGAGAGAGTCAATTATCATATGGTTTCACTTATTTGTGGCGCATAACAAATAACATGGAGGACATGGGGAGATGGAAGAGAGAAGGGAATTGAGGGAAATTGGAAGGGGAGGTGAACCATGAGAGACTATGGACTCTGAAAAACAACCTGAGGGTTTTGAAGGGGCCTTGGGTGGGAGGTTGGGGGAACCAGGTGGTGGGTATTAAGGAGGGCACGTATTACATGGAGCACTAGGTGTGATGCAAAAACAATGAATACTGTTATGATGAAAAGAAATTTTAATAAAAAAGAGTAAAAAAAAAAAAAGAATTACACACTAATTATTTCTGTATCTCTGATTTTTACCCCTGTGGTTTGTTCAGTATGAAATGCTGTTACTTCATTTATTTCTATTTATCATCAATTGTAGTTATTTTTTTTCCCGTACTATGGCCCTTTAAACTTTAAAACTGGTTGAAATATGGTTGAAACCATATGGTTGAAATGTGGTTGAAAATATGGTTGAAAAATCAAATTTTTATTTTAAAGGTATATTCAAAAAAGCTTTATGAGTTCATTTCATTTTTTGAAAAGTTTTTGCGTTTATGATGTAAGAATATCAATTTTTCTATCATTATTTATTAATTTAAAAAATTCATCACTCATATGTTAAGTATCAGGCATTAGATTATTGCTTATTTTCCAAATTAAATAGCCCCTTCTTCTATCTATCTATATCTATTTATCATCTATCTATTTATCATCTAACTATCACTACTTTGGAAATAATGATCTAATTGCAATTCTTTCTCCATAATTTCTAAACTTTGTCATGAGTGTAAGCACATAAACTGATTTCCCTAATTCTCAGTTTTTTCAACAGTCAAAAACATTCATAATTTCTTGTACTTTGCCTATTATGATAATTAAATTGAACAATGTATGTACGACAATCAGCACTCTACTTCATGCATAGCAAATATTCAATAAATGATAGGTGTTATAATGATTAGTAATATTTCAAAAAGGTTGAACTTTGGTGTACATTCTCAAATCACTGAAGAAAATATTCTCAAATCATAATGTGAAGCAGAAGTTCTATTTCTTTTCTTAATATTGAACATGGTTGCTTATGAAAAAAAATATAAATAGAAGTATTTGGGTTAGGTACCCATATGCTGTTCTACCAGTGATAGATTCATATGTTCTTAAAAAAACTTGCAAAACCTCAAAAGGAATTATCTTGACATGTATTATTGGTATCTTGGCACATATTATTATTTATGATCCAAAATATTCTGCTAAGTTAGAACATGACTTTTCTTGCTGATTGTCTACATGATTGTCTTGAAATTAGCATTTTTTTAATGAAACAATTCTAAAGTTGTTTATCATCATGCTTGAAAGAATAAGCTTATATTTAATGAAAGAAAAAAGACAAGGTCAATTGATGTTTTGTAAGTTCTTTTGAATGTTTTTTCATCTTTCCTATTTCTCCTTAGAGACACCATCCCCTTAGATTTCTTGTGGAGATACATTCATTCTTCTTAGATAATTTGAAACTAATAAATATTTCCCAAGTTTCAATCTAATCATCTCAGCTATGATAATCTTCATGAATGTTTGTGAGGTAGGATTAGTTGGACACACATTTTATAAATTATATGGCATTAATGGGGCACCTGGGTGGCTCAGTCCTTAAGCATCTGCCTCTGGCTCAGGTCATGATTCCAGAGTCCTGGAATCCAGCCCCACATCTGACTCCCTGCTCAGCAGAGAGCCTGCTTCTCCCTCTCCTGGTCCCCTGTTGCCTGTGTTCCCTCTGTCGCTATGTCTCTCTTTCATAAATAAATAAAATCTTTAAAAAAAATTATCCACCACTAAGAAGAGGAGTTTATGAGAAATCTTTACTATCCAAGGCGTATATACTACCATATGTTTAGATATATGTGATAGTGCAGACAAATGACATTATTAAAATATTCACACTTTATCTCTTTGTATGAATTAACATGAGATTATTTTATATTAATCTTTCTGCCTACAATATTAAATATTATTTTCTAGTGAGTATGTTTGTCTTTCATTATTGTTGATCCTTGCTCATGTAAACTACAGAAAATAAAATACCAACATAAACTGCTCATGGTAAGTAAAATAGTGGTGATATTTTAAAGTAGTGGGATTATTTTCTCTCAAAAATTTAAGAATAACTACAAATACCATGTAAGTTATATACAAATAGTGGTGATAAAAGTGATATTTTATTATTGTTCCTTGTATAAGCCATTAATTATTGCTCACAAATGCCAGAGCTTCAAGTTCAATTTATGCATTTCCACCTGCATTTCTAATACTTAAGAGGTTTAAACCAGACACTGCAAAATTGTGGAGGGAATGAGGATTATCTTAGTGCTCCCTAGATAAACAGAGTGCCTGACAACTCTACAAGTCAATCAAACATGACAAGATTGGAGGATACTTTTTCTTGGAGAACTGATATTACATGTTTTAATACACTTTTGAAAAAAATAGAAAATAGAGCTCTTTGGAGGTGCTAATTCTTATTAACACTTTGAGCAATAAAAACATCATTGATAATTTGTGCGGTTTATGAATTTGTATGTGAGGTAGTGGGCTAAATCATATAAAAGGAAAAATATTATGTATTCAATAATAAAAGGAAGAACAACTTCACAACAGGCAAAGATAATTGATTCACAAAATTAATAAGGGGTGTAATTTAATTTTTTTTATTTAAAGGAAAGAAAAAATACACTATATATTTTTCTCTCTCTGCCAGTGCTTATGTTCATTTGGAAATACCTTATTTAATTAGCAAATTGATAACAATTCCTCAGGTTAATAGGAAAATGAAGTGCCTCACTAGAATATTTTAATTGAAAATATGACTCTAAAGTATATAACCAATAAGTTTTCTGAATTCACATTGTTTTTATTTTGTTTTTACAAAATAATAAATTAATGAAAATAGAGAAAGCATGTTCCATTGCATAATTTCTTTGGTAACATATTAATAAGAATGACCAAATTTTTAATGAAAAATATAAATGACCTATAATAACAAGTCATTGAAAGTACTTTATTTTAGGGGTGCCTGGGTGGCTCAGTGGGTTAAAGCCTCTGCCTTCAGCTCAGGTCATGATCCCAGAGTCCTGGGATCAAGCCGCACATCTGGGCTCTCTGCTCAGCAGGGAGCCTGCTTCCTCCTCTCTCTCTGCCTGCCTCTCTGCCTACTTGTGATCTCTCTCTGTCAAATAAATAAATAAAAACTTTAAAAAAAAACTCTTTAAAAAGAAAGTACTTTATTTTATATATTTGCAGAAATAATACCCTCATGTATCAGATGCAGACATTTATAAAATTTGGGTCAGTTTGTATAAACTTTTTTGCAATTTTGTGTCTAAAATACATTTAGAATATTTTAAATGACTTTAAAATGTAATTATCTAAATGAATAAAATTATTTAAAGAATTGCTTATTTTTAAATAAATTATTTTCTACTTTTCAAACGAAGCCATGACATATAGCTTATATGTAATGTGAAAATTGAATTGTCTTTTGAGAAATGTAAATATGTCATTATATATTCTAAACATTTTTTCCTTTGTAAAGGAAAAAAGTTTTTCACGTTACTGAACTTATTGTTATAATAGTTTTAATTTATTATTTTGGATATTCTGGGGGGGGGGATATTCCTTAAATACTCATATTCTTAAACAATAAAAGACCCATTGAAACTTCAGTCTTTTTTTTTAAAGATTTGATCTATTTATTTGTTGGAGGAAGAGAAAGAGAGAGAGAAAGAGAGAACAAGCAGGGGGAACTTCAGGCAGAGGAAGAAGAAGGTTCCCCACTGAGCAGGGAGCCCCATGCTGGAGACTGGATCCCAGGATTCCAGAATCATGACCTGAGCCAAAGGCAATGCTTAACTAACTGAGCCGCGCAGGCATCCCAAAACTTCGTCTTAAGAGTGGTTTGTCCTTCTCCTTGCTCAGATCCATTACTGGATTTTTATATATATGGTTTTATCTGCTTTATATTGTTTCAGTTTTCTTCTAGATTCAACTAGTATTTATTTTGTTGTGGTATCACACTTTGTTTTCTTTTGATGTTATCACACTCTTACACTCTTTTTCTTTTGTCATATTCTGTCTTCATCAGTAATTCATCGAAAAGTTGCAAGAGGCTATAATGGGGCTCTAAACAAATATCACTTCAATATGAAACCTAAAATTTCAGAATTTAACAATAGGTCTTAATTCATTATACTGGCATTTTTATTTTGGTGAAATTAATAATTAAAATGAATGAATGATATTTGAATCTGGAACCAAGATTTTATCTAGTTTATTTAAGAAATGAACAAATTTGGAATGAGTTACAATTGAGCTGGAAGTTTGTAAGTAACAGTGAAAAATAAACTATTACAGATTTTGCAAGTCAATTTTTAAAACTGAGTTGGCTTCTATTGTGCTTTTTAAAAATAGTGTCCGTTGCATGGTCCTAGATCATATCTTCAACCTCATGGAATATCTTCTCATAAATGGGTATATATGTGAATATGGATCCTTTTATGTATCATTTCCTGGATATAAGTCTACTCATATAGTTTCTTATCATTGTCCTTTTATTTCTAGAATTTGTTTGAAATCACAAAAGAGAAATGAAGAATCATACAAAACAGATAGAGTTTATCCTTCTGGGACTGACAGATAATTCTCTGTTACAGATCGTAATTTTATTATTTCTATTTCTAAATTACATGCTGAGTATGATAGGAAACTTAACCATCATTGCCCTTACTCTACTGGATTTTCATCTCAAGACCCCAATGTATTTTTTCCTCCATAATTTCTCTTTCCTGGAAATTTCGTTCACAAGTGTTTGCATCCCCAGGTTCCTAATCACCACTGTAACCAGAGAAAAGTCCATTTCCTATAATGGCTGTATATCTCAGTTGTTTTTTTACATATTCTTGGGGGTTACAGAATTTTTCCTTCTGGCAGCTTTGTCCTATGACCATTATGTGGCCATCTGCAAACCTTTGCATTATACATCCATCATGAGCAACAGAATTTGTCATCAGATTGTACTCAGTGCCTGGGCAACTGGATTTCTGGTCATTTTCCCTCCATTGTTTTTAATTCTGAACCTGGATTTCTGTGCTTCCAATATCATTGATCATTTCATTTGTGACGTTTCTCCTGTCCTGCAACTTTCTTGCTCAGACACACATTTACTAGAACTGATTGCTTTTTTCTTGGCCTTGATAATCCTCATTGTCACGTTGTTATTAGTAATCCTTTCTTACTCTTACATAAACAAGACAATTCTAAAATTCCCTTCGGTTCAGCAAAGAAAAAAGCCTTTTCGACCTGCTCTTCTCACATGATTGTTGTATCCATCAGTTATGGTAGTTGCATATTCATGTACATAAAGCCATCTGCAAATGAAAGAGTCACTTCAAGCAAAGGAGTAGCGGTGCTCAATACTTCAGTTGCCCCTATGTTGAATCCATTCATTTATACTCTGAGAAACCAGCAAGTTAAACAAGCCTTCAGAGATGTATTTAGTAAGATATCTTCTGCTTCGGATAAATAATACTGTCTGTTGAAATAAGTAACATAAAAACATAAAAAGAACAGTGAATAAAAATATCTTGACCCTTCCAGTGTAAGAATTGATCTAAGAAAAAAAGAATTGATCTTTAATATTTAATTATTTGGATCACTTCAGCTTACTTGAGCTTAGAAACTCTTTCCATTCTATATATTTTAACTTTAATTTTCTGTTCTTCAAAGTGAAATACTTCTATGTAAGAAATATGAAATTACAAATTTTTTTTCTAGACATGTTGTAGAATAAAATGAAAGGTTGAGATTATATTATACAATACAGGTGCTTGTAGAAGTGTGTTTGTTACATACTTAAAATAAATGTACCATGTTTTATTTAGAAGCCACGTTCCATAAATTTTTAGATAAATTGAGTTTTGTCATTATTAAATATACCTTAGATGTTCCAAGAGACCCTACACTTTAAAAAGGGTAATGTGAAGAAATATTTTGTAAACTTGTTTTTTTAAATGTCAACCGTCAACATGGTAAAAAAAGAATAGTTTTTTTAATGAATCATAACTTTCATTTGTGTGATTTTTAGTATTAATGTTGGCTAAATTTTTAAAATTTCAGTAGAAGATAAAATGTGATTTAATACACATGTAGTTTATTTCTCACACAATCTTTTTAAAAAACATAAAAGTTTAATCTTGTAAACATGTCAACAGATCTATTGACTAAATGGGAGTATATGAGGAATTCTGTTAGTTTTTAATTCTGTACAAGTTTTCCATGGTAAATGATGTCAAATATCAATTTTTCAATAATTCAAATGACTTTTTTAGTATAGAATTATGTTTTATTTTCTCCAGAGCTAGGGTAACTCTGTCAGCTCTTAAGACACATAGATGCCACAACTCTATAATTCTCCTGTTGTATATGCCAACTGGTTTATAGCATAGCTGTAATTAAGCTATTTGCTCAAGATTATCTTCCATATGTGTCAGTGGTATTTGTTTTTGTCTATGTCTACAGTTGCCATACATTTCTCTGGTCAATATTCTTGAAAATATCTATTGATTAATTTTAATGAAATCATACCAAAGCTAATCCATAACTCAAGGTAGAAACCACAATTAATGATTGATCTTGACAATGGCTTATACTTGTCAAAACTCATCAAATTGGATACTTAAGATTTGTTCATTTCATGAGATGTAAATATTTTAAAGATTATGAAAAAATTGGGAGAGACAAGATGGCAGGGAAGTAGGAGCAAGTGGCCTTTCAACCTGTACCCTAAAGTGAGCTGATAACCTACAAAAGAACTCCGATCACCCATGAAATCAGCCTGCGATCAGAATTATACATGTCTGGATCTCTACAGGGACAGAAGACGCCAGTGGGCAGGTAACGCAGGGTGGGAACGGTGGACTGATATCAGAAGATAAACAAAAGGGGGAGGGAGCCACCAGAAGCAACTCATTGGAAATTAATACCCCAATACAAGAGTGCCCTGCATCTGGGGACCAGCATTAACTTGGAGTCTGGTTGAAAGCACTCAAAAAGAGCAAAGGATCATGGGGGAAATTGTGGGAATCAGGGCAGTTAGGGACAGGGGCTTAAGTCCCAGGACCCAGGACAGCCATCCCTGGCACTGAGCCAGAGAGAGTGCAGCGGAGAAACCAGGTCTTGGTCCCTGAGCCACCAGCACTCCTGAGAGCGCGTGGAGTCCCATGAGGGCCTGGGAGCCTCGCCAGCCAGCAGAAGCATAGCCTTTTTGCAGTCTCCATGTGCGTGCCGTGCTGTGCTATCAGAGACTGAGATGCACACGCCCCACACCCTCCCCTGAGAGAGGTGCGCGCAAGCCCAGTACTCTCCAACCCGGAAAGACCAGGCATTCCCAGCCCAGGCCAGCGGGAAAATCTCAGTGTGCAATCACTGCTTGGAACCTCTCTGGTGGTCTGGAGCTGCCCAGACAGCCGCCACTGTTGTGGTTTTGGGTACAAGCAGGAGTTCCTGCCTCCCCAGGGACCGTGACTCAGAACGTGCTCTGCCAGCGGCTGAGTGGGAACTTATGTGCTCCGCAGTATCTAGAGGGGAACAGACTGAGGCTTCTCTCTGAGAGGGAGGTCAGGTGCATTTTGCTGTCCTCTAAACCTCCAAAAACCATCAAAAGCTGTCAAGGAGAGAGAAAAAAAAAAAATGAACAAACATAAAAAACTCCAGAGAACAAAAGCCTGAAAAACCAGTTTCCTCAGAGCCCACAACCTTGAGGGGGGCAGGAGTACTTAACTTGGGGAACATTGCCTGAAAACCCACGTGGCAGGTCCCTCCCCCCGAAAAACCAACCAGGAAAAAAAAGAAAAAAAAAAGACAACAAGAGAACAACCACCATTACTTCATAGATACAACTTTTATTTTTAATTCGTTCCCACTATTCTGGTTCATTTTTTTTAATATAGATAATTTTTTTAACCTATTTACCATCACAGTGAGATGTCCAGTACATCAAATTCCATAATAACCTTTTAACCTGAACTTTTTGATACATATACCTGTGTTTTTCTTTTGCTTTTCTATTTTTTTTAATTTTTTTTAATTTTAGTTTAGTCTAGTTTATTCTTTTTTTATTTTTATTTTCTAATATTCATATAGAGTTAAACTAAAAGGTAACCCCCTTTCCCCAATCAATGCGACCCCTATAGGTAAACCAATTTTTAATCCCTCTATCTTAGGAAAGTTGAGTCCTTTAACTAAGATATCAAGATACATCCAGGAAGAATCAAAATAACCTTCCTCGCCCACACTGAGAATTTATAACTGCTCTCCCATCTTTTTCTTCTGCAAGTGTTTCTGTGTATTTGTGTTTGTCCTGATAGTATATAAATCTTATACTTGGCATCCTTTTTGACGAAGTTCTTTTTTTTTTTTTTTTTGCTTTTATATATATATATTTTTCTCTTGTCATATACTTTTTTTAATTTTTTATTTCTTTTCAGTGTAACAGTATTCATTGTTTTTGCAACACACCCAGTGCTCCATGCAATCCGTGCACTCTCTAATACCCACCACCTGGTTCCCCCAACCTCCCATCCCCCACCCCTTCAAAACTCTCAGATTCTTTTTCAAAGTCCATAGTCTCTCATGGTTCACCTCCCCTTCCAATTTCCCTCAACTCCCTTCTCTTCTCCAACTCCCCTTGTCCTCCATGCTATTTGTTATGCTCCACAAATAAGTGAAACCATATGACAATTGACACTCTCTGCTTGACCTATTTCACTCAGCATAATCTCTTCCAGTCCCGTCCATGTTGTCATATACTTTTATCAGTCTTTTTGTTTGTCTGTTTTTGTTTGTATACGTTATAAATCTTACCTTGGGGCCCATTTGGGCTGAGCCTTATCTTGTATCTTTCTTTTATTTTCCCCATCTCTCTCTCTCTCTCTCTCTCTTCTTTTTTTCTTTTTCTTTTCTTTTTTCTTTCATTTGGGTGGGGCCTCCTGATTGCTCAGAAGCATTCCGGGGTTCATCTTGACTACACCACAGTAGAAACATCCAGCTACATCCGTTCAGCCATCTGTCACCAAAATGACTAAGAGGAGGAATGCCCAACAGAAGAAAAATTCAGAGGATGGGCCTTCTGCAACAGAGCTAATGGCTATCGACATAGACAATATGTCAGAAAGGGAATTCAGGCTAACAATTTTCAAGGATTAGCTGGTTGGAGAAAGCCATGGATGACCAAACAGAATTGATTAGGACAGAACTGAAAGCCACTAGGATGATGTTCACAACGTTAGGGCAGAACTGAAAGCCACCAGGGATGAGGTTCACAATGCTCTCAATGAGTTCCAATCTAATCTAAATTCTCTCAAAGCTAGGGTAACTGAGACAGAAGATAGAATTAGTGATCTGGAGGACAAACAGATAGAGAGAAAGGATCAGGAGGAAGTCTGGAACAAACAGCTTAGAAGCCATGAAAACAGAATCAAGGAAATAAATGATGCCATGAAATGTTCCAATGTCAGAATCATTGGAATCCCTGAAGGGGAGGAGAAAGAAAGAAGTCTAGAAGATATAGTGGAACAAGTTCTCCATGAAAATTTTCCCAATCTCACAAATGGAACTAGTGTTCATGTACTAGAGACAGAATGGTCTTCCCCCAAGATTATAGATTCTCAAAAGTCCTCGAGACACCTAATAGCAAGAATGAAGAATTATAATTGTAGGCGGGCCATCTGGAGGCAGGTAGGACAAAGAAATTCCTTATGTACAGAGGAAATCCCATCAGAATAACGTCAGACCTGTCCACAGAAACCTGGCAAGCCAGAAAAGGCTGGCAAGATGTATTCAGGGCACTAAATGAGAAGAACGTACAGCCAAGAATACTTTATCCAGCAAGACTGACATTCAAAATGGATGGAGAGGTAAAGAGTTTCCAAGACTGACAAAGCTTAAAAGAATATGTGACCACCAAGCCAACAGTGCAGGAAATATTAAGGGGGGTTCTATGAAAGAGGAAAAATCCTAAGAATATCATTACACAGAAATATAGAGGCAATCAACAGAAAGAAAGAGTTCAAGATAACACGATGTCAATAAAAACGTATCTCTGAATAATCACTCTCAATGTGAATGCCCTAAATGCACCCATAAAACGAAACAGGGTTGCAGATTGGATAAAACAACAGGATCCATCCATATGTTGTCTACAAGAGACCCATTTTGAACATAAGGATAAACCCAGACTGAAAATGAAAGGATGGAGAAGCATCTTTCATGCCAATGGGCCTCCAAAGAAGGCTGGGGCAGTATTTCTCATATCAGATAAATTAGATTTTAAACTAAAGACTGTATTCAGAGATATAGAAGGACACTACAACATTCTTAAAGGGACTATTCACCAAGATGATCTAACAATTTTAAATATCTATGCCCCCAATATGGGAGCAGCATATTACATAAGAAAACTATTAATCAAGATAAAGAGTCATATCGGTATAAACACATTAATAGTAGGAGATCTTAACACACCTCGCT